CTATCATGCAGAACTAAACGGAGGGAGGATGTTGTGTTTCTATCGGACGCTCCGTCGTGCTCTGCAATCTGCTCATTATCTCGTTTATTGTTTAATTGGCAATCCGTGATCTTATGCATATGGCAATGAAATGCACTTCACGTACGCTAAAATGTTTGCACAGAATATTTATCAGTCCATGTTTATTCATTTTATTTCCGATAGAAAATTGGACGGCTTTCATATTTCGAACAATTTACAGTAGCTTTGCCGAAAGCCAGTTTTTTTGCCTATGAATGTATCCCCAATTATGTATATCGTGAGTACGGGAAAGGGTTCGCGTGTGTAGCCCCTCAACTAAAGAAGTGCCGGAAATTTGATTATCACATCGTTAATTCTCAATAATTTTAAATAATTTTAACTGCTAGCTATCATCGTTGGTTACGGCAATCATTCCAAATGCCGTAACTGCTTCTACACGAAACCAAGCATAAAATGTTGTATAATTCTGAATAGCGTTAACATGAGTTATTGGTAGCCTCGTCGGATCTGGTTTCATCTTCATGTTAACGTCTAACAGAGTGCTCTTTATTGGACACTGATGTTTTCTACTGTTTCATCGTTATCCGTATTCCATTAATTTGCTATTGTATCAGTTTAGTTGCCGATTGAATTGAGCATGTCTGACAGAGCGTACGCAATTGAAGAAATCCTCGAGGATAAAGCAATTATTAAAGGAAATCGAGCACAGAAATTCTACCGAGTTCGATGGGAGTGAGTAGCATTTTATTTCATCCATATTACGCCGACATTCGTGTGCAGACCCCGATCCGAATTAAATAAATGCCACAGATTTTGAGTAACAAAAGTAAACGCAGTTTGGATACAACATCAGCCTCTACCTTAGCGCATTGGCATAAATAAGATGGGATGTTGTTTCCAACTTCATCCGTACCACCAACCTTTAGCCTGCAATGCTTTATACTGAAGTATCCAGTTGACAGTTTTTACACCAGAAACAAGCACTGATAGGTTCATGGAAACAGTCTAGCAACGATTAATGCATGACTTGCTGTCAGAACACTCTCCATTTCTTACCTCAAAAAATCCGAGCTTCCAGCTAACAAACCTATCTCGTTTCGTCATGTTTGGGAGGAAACTCAAACTAATTATGGCCGAAAACATGAGCAAAAGGTAATAAGTCTCTGAAAAGAGACTCATACTAACTGAACAATCATTAAAATGTTTTTGAGACCAACATGGGAACCAGCAAAAGTGATGCTAGATCAGGCTCCGGACGCCGTCGAACAATACGAAAGAAATAAGAACTTGAAAAACCCAATTGGCAATTCCTCAAAGGTATTTGATGATTTTTTTTCTTGAAAATTGTTACCGGACTTCAGTCGTGAACACTGAGTAAAGTTGCTCATTCCGTTTGAAATTGCTTCATCATCCGTGAGAGCTGGATTTGATCCGCCCTTTGGCATATGATAATAACCGTTCATGAATAATTTGATGACTGTTGCAGGATCAGATCGAAATCGAAGGATTATTGGACGGTTGTAGTGATATACGACACGCAACCTTCGTTATTAAACGGT